ACATCCTATTTTACTATTTCATGGCACTTTTTGCATCTGATATTTTACTGCTGGTTTTTTTTTTAATCCAACTTCTTATGCTGAAATTCAGGCTTTAGGAGAGAAATGTTGTCCTTTCTGTCTCCTTAGGGTGCACATTCTCAGTAGGGGCAATATTATCCCAGGAGTCAAAAACTGGTTCAAGAGGGGGTAAAACATTTCACTCTTTTTATGTATAAAGCACAGATTTATATGTGTTCTATCTATATGTGTATATATATACATATATAATTATAGTATATATATACACTATGCATATCTATACAGTGTATAGTATATAGATATATAGTATATACATGGCATTAAAATTTGGGAGGCATAATTATGACGAAAATGTCTAAAAGTCTCCTTTGGGGAGCAATAATGAAAAAATGTTTGAGAACACTGCTTTATAGTATAGAACAATGCTGAGCACATAAATAATGTTTTTTGAATGACTGAACCATGTCCTTTAAAAGCTATAGAAGCTGAGGTGAAATAGCTAGCCTCAGGACATAAGGCTGATAGATAATAGAATTGCCTCCAAACTAAGTTTCCTGGGTCTCATGTTTTAATTCTAAGCCACCCATTAAATGCTCGATATATGCTTTTTGAGTTGACTTGAGCACAGTGAGCATTCCTGCAAGAGGAAGCAAAGCAAACTGCTTCAGGGACACTGTCTTCTTGCCCTATCTAACCTTACATGGTGAAAGGGCACCAGGAGCTGCCTGGGGTCTCTTTTATAAGGGCATGAATCCCAATCATGAGGGCTCCACCCTATGATCTAATCACCTCACAAAGGCCCCCATCTCCTAATACCATCACACTGGGGGTTAGTGAGTTTTGGATTTTGAATAAAGATGCAAACATTCGGTCTCTATCACTGGGCCACTATGTGGAGGTGATGTGGAAGAGACAGAAGACAGGACTGAAGGATGGTGATGATAGTAATAAGAATAATAATGTTCATTTATTAAGCTCTTGTTTTATGTTACTATCTTATTTAATCTTCAACGATTCTATGCAGCAGTTGCTCCTGTTTTATAGATGTGGGAACTGCAGCACAGAGAGTTTAAGTAGCAAACTCCACACAGAGTGAGTTCAGACCTGGGGTCATCTTGTGGTAGCACAAAAAATCACTGCCCAATGTATTGAGCAATTACTATGTACTAAGCATTTTATACACATTGATCTCTAAGGTGCTTTACAGTGGTGAGTCCCTGATTTCTGGGTATCTTCCCCCTAAGTTCTTGCTCTTGACCCTCCTTTCTGGGTCCCTGGGCCAGGATTGCTGAGGCAGGTTGGGCGGCTTGGAGTCCTCCAGGCAACTGCCCCACCTAACTACTCTGAAGTCTGAAGAAGGCTCTGTCTTCACACTCTTCACTGCTTATTGACCCAATTATCTGCTCATACCTGAGAAAGAACAGGCCCTGGCCATGTCTCTTACCTAGTCCACATGTGAGGTTCTTTAGGGGTCAGGCCATTTAAGAATGGAGAAGTCTGCGTCCTTCCTGTTAGCCTTTTTGCTTGAAGTGTAGTGTAAGTTAACAAAAAGCTTCCCAAATTCAACCTATGTTTTAATTCTATCATTTGTCTTCAGTGGGATATCCATTTTCAGATGCGCGGCTTTTTCGTTTTTGCATCTGTTTTCCCTGTGTTTGCCTGCCTGCCCATCTATCTGGCACTGAGAACAAATCAGGCTTCCATCACTGTGCAGCGGCTGCAGATGGACCTGAGGAAGCAGCGGACCTGGTCACTAGCTGCAGCTCTCAGAAGTGCCAGCAAGGCCTCAGGAGCGGTCAGATTGGATGCCAGTCTTACATCTGAGGCTGAGGTGCTGTGTGACTTTGTTTTTCTCCCTGTAATAATATGCATTTTAATCCTTAACTTTATACACCTTCTACTGTTCTGTTTACTTCAAGAATAACACACGCTTCTGCCTACATTTATAGGCTGTCTCATATTTCTTAGTAACCCTCAAATCAACCAAGCATGACTGGGCTGCAGTCATAAAGAGCAGCTTGATTTTGTCTTCTAATTTCTCTTTAAAATGTCTCTGTGAGGCACATTGTTTTCCTGCCCATGAGTGAGCTCAGGTGCCAGGACATTAATGGAGCCTCTTGGGTGTCAAAATACAGTCTCAGTACAGTCGCTAAAATGTTCTGTCTGAGGTGATAATCACAATTTTTAAAGTTGTGACTTCTCTCCTTTTTTAGCTTGGCCTTGCTGCAAGGAGGAAGCCCACCGTAGGGGAAGGAAAGCACACTCCCCTTCTTTCTTTCCTATTGTCTTCACCTTGGGTCCATTGCCAGCCTCTACAGCCGTACCCCCAGCTGGACAACTGTTTTCTGACCCCTCTGGGCTTAGAGCATGAAGGAGGAGAGGAAAAGAGAGCACGAAGGTTGCTACTTGTCGGATGCTGCTGGGAGAATGCTGGCACTTCCTTTGGCGGGGCACTTTCAAGGGTCTTTCAAAAACTTACCCTCTCACAGGGCATCTGCCCCTGCCGTTCTCTTAGTGGGGCTTAGAGCGTCTCTCTTTTGGCTGGTTTGTTGTCTTCCCTTGGCCCTTAGGAACTTAACAATACCCACAGCTTCCCTTTGCTGAGGTCCCGTTGTCCCACTCGATTTCCCTCTCAGAAAGTACCCAGAATGACCGACCAGACACACCCTTCTTGAGTGGCCCACATCTGCTCCATAGAAAACACCCACACGTTTTTTACTGTGATAAATCCTGGGTGAAGAGGAACAAAACGCTTTGTTCCCAAACAGTTCTTCCTGTGCTCTGCTGTTTGCTGACTAGCCTGCCCATCTCTTGCCCCTTAGCACTTGCAGGTAGGATTCCGTCACAAGCGCACTGTACCCCCTTATATATTAAAATAACCTAGGGGTCCCCTCAGAGTCACTCTTTGCTGAAGGTTAGGAGGTAGGCCTCACAGCCCAGCTCCCTCTGAAGAAATCCTCCCTAATCACCTACTCCTGACCCTTTTAGACACTCAGTGTGTGGAAGGCTTAAGAGTGGAGGCTGTTTTCTGTGCAAATTCTTGGTCTGGTTCCTTGATTTGATGTTTGCTACCTATTGTACCTCAGCTAAAATGTTTATTTTCACATCTGTAATAAGATACCACTTTTTAAATTCAATTAGAATTAAGCTCCTTCTAGACCAGTGCTGTCCAATAGAAATATAATGCAAGCCACATATGTATCGAACATTTTCTAGGACTCGGATGACAAACAGTGAAATTAATTTTAATAATAATAATCTTCTTAACCCAATATTTCAAAATGTTGTAATTTCAATATGAAATAAATATTAAGAATTGTTAATGAGATATTTTACATTCTAGTTTGGCATTAAGTCTTTGCAATCTGGAGTTTCCCCTATTCCAGTTTGAGCCAGTCACATACCAAGTACTCAATGGTGACAAGTGTCTAGTGGCTACTGTAATGAACTGCCTGGCAGTAGACTGGGAGCTCTCTCCATAGGCAAGATCGGTGTTCTTTTGGTCCTTGCTGTATACCACAGTGCTTGGAATATAGTAAGCATTCGATATTTGTGGAATTGAACTGAATGAACTTGAAATAGAATAAGAAGTTGTCAAGGAAATTGTTCAGCAGCTTCCCATAAGAACTTTAATTCTACACACATTTAGTTTGCCCACATAATCTGTAATTCACTTACTCCAGGGCATTTAAATTCCATGAAGGTGGGGGGTCTTTGTCTTGTCCCTACAATTTATCATAGTTTCAAGTGTTATGATGTGGGGATTCATGCTATCAACAAATATTTATTTAGTGTCCATGTGAGGTTGGATATTTTAGGTGCTGGGGATCCTGTGTTGAACACTGCAGACAAGTCTCTGTCTTCGTGGAGCTTACTTACAGACAATAAAACATAGCAGGGGCTATGAAGGAAGTCACTGGGGTGATGTGACAGGGTGTGACTGGGAATGGGGGAGCAAGGTCACATGGAGGAGCAGCCAGGCCTTCAAGAGCTAGGGGAAGGGCAATTGACTGTGTCTTTCTACAGTCCTACAGGCTTCCTCCTTTTCAGCCACATTGGCCTTTTATTTCTTTAACACCAAAATTCATTTCTTTGAACTTTGTATTTCCTCTGCCTGTGTCGCTGTCTTCCTGGTTGGTGCCTCTCGCGTCTCAACTAATCTCAGTGTGAATTTCCCTGACCATCTTATCTATCGGGTTCATTTCCTTAGATGCTCTCCATCATATAGCCACATTTTGTTTATTATCACGATCTGAAATGATCTTATTTATTAATCTGTTGTCTCCCACTCCATAAGGAAAGCTCTAAGAAATTAGTAACTCTGTCTTGAGTTCCTACCTTCCAGTGTAGAAAAGTGCCTCTCTGACAGATGTATGATCCGTAACTAGTGGTCAATAGGCATTTATTGATTGAATGAATGAAAATCAAGAGGAGATGTCTTTGGGAGATGTAGCAATATTTGAATGAGGCCACAGTCTAAAGGAAGTCTGGGAAGCACTATTTTTATCTGCTTTCTCTGAGAAGGAAGATAGAGTTTAATGCATATAAAAGCTATGCCCTTGTACTGTCTTGGGTTCTCGTTCTGGCCCCTTCGGGTGATGGACCATGTTACTGCGCAAACAGGCGTAAACTTTTGCATATAACTTAGGGGTTGGGAGGAGGCAGCGAATGGGATTCCTGAAGCGGTAAACGGACCTCAAGTTAAAAATTCTTGTAGAAATGAGAACCCTCACAGCAACGCGGGGAAACAAATGTTAAATGAGATAATGCATGAAATAGCTTAAAAGAACTAGGACAGGTGCCTGGAGAAGGATGTCTTTGGGAAGAGAGGGTGTCAGAAGAATCCCTGAAATTCAAAATCTTTCCCACCAAGCACCGCTGCCGGCGGTTGCTATGGACGCTCGCCTCCTCCAATCATCGAGCATCTTGCTAGGCTGTGTTGCGCTCAGGGGTTGCTGCGGCAACGGATGGTAACAGCTCCGGGACGCAGGTAGCTCTGCAGGAGTGAGGCTGGCTTGGAGCTGGGTGGGGAGCCCCCTCGGCTGCTGCGGCGTGAGTTAGACTTGGGTCTTGGCGGGGAAATGCGGCCCAGAATTGGCATGGGGTCGGGGGTGCACCAGTGTTGGAGGTGCTCACAGTGATCATTGTGAGGGGCCTGGGACTGGCCCGGCCATCCCCTCCTCTCATTCCTGCCATAGGTCCCAAGGGATCCCCAAACTTTCCAGACCCACCCCTCCCCAGCCTCTCCTGGCCCTCTTCTCACCCACATTAAAACAGCTAACCTCCTATTTCTGTCTTGGGATTCCCCAGACAAACAGGTAGTGAGAGGCAGGCGTTGGCCTGAAGGACAGAAGACCGGGGTGTTCACTTTGCTTCTCACTTCTAATGAGCCATGAGGCCTTGAACAAATCATTTTTGATATTTCCCCACCAGGAAAATAGGGTGCCACACCCCCACTCTTACCCCCCCCTCCCTCCCCTGTTACTTCTCAGAACTGCCGCGAGGATCAAATGCATGACCAGTATATCCTCAGATATACTTTCCCTATATGGTCTCATTTCACAGCCACAAGGGTCCTGTGAAGCGACGGTAACGATTAACCTGCCATTTCGGTTGAGCAGTCTGTGCTCAGAAAGTGCCCCATGACCAAGGCTGGGGGAGGGGGCAGTTGGTGTGACTCTTACCCACCACCTATGCTACCTGGTGTCCTGTCCCCTGTGCGCGCTCACCTGTTTTCCTTAGGTTTGTTTCCTGCTCCCTGCCTCTATTGGATTTTGTCCTTTTCACTCCATAATATTTGAGTCAGTACACATTTTATCAAGATGGCTCTTCCCCACTCTCCTTTTCCTTACTCCTTAAAGCAATTGAAATGCTACTTCACGTCTAGTATTAGCGCAGCTGTTTTGCTGGAAAAAAAAATATTGTTGACAGAACCTGTGCCTTCGGTTAGGTAATACAGCGGAATAATGTTTTACTGTGTTAGGTTCAGAAGCCAGTGCTAAGTTGAACGCAGTCAGAAATATCCCTGGAAAAATCTCTTAAGTAATCTGGGAGCAACCCGATTCAGAAATCAAACCATTGAAAAGCTTTAATTTGGGGAATATTTAAATACATTTCAGGAAATTCTAATCTATAGACTCTATTTGTCACCATAAATTAGTAGAAGGATAAATTTATCGGTTCCATTAAGTCTTTGTGCTTCTAAAGTTTGCCGTAATCCTCATTTTACACTTGAATTTCTTCCTTGAGAATGTTGAGAAGGCTGTCACCATCTGAGTGGTTGGTCCCCTGGACATCACTCTGCTTGGTGGGCTGATAAATCCTTGGAACCATTCATGCATACCTGCCATGGCCCCCCAGTCTTCATGGGACCAACGGTTGTTGGATGAAACTGACCCTCTCATTTTCAGGACTACATCTCACCTCATTCTACAGCCCACTGATTGGGAAGACAAAGACAATCACCCATCTACTTTAAACGTTATTTTCTGTCTTTTGATTTAACTAAATAGTATGATTATAGTTGAAATCCCATCATCCCATTGATGTAACTCATTTGGGGTCTTACTGTAGAGATTGTACTCACCCTGCATGGGCATCGATACTTGCTATTATCATTCTTTTAAAACTTTGTGTTTCTGATGGGAAAATAATGGTTATTATCATTTTGTTATAATTTACATTTGTCAAATTACTAGTGAGATTGAGCTGTTTATGATTATTGATTATTGATAATTGATCTGTGGATTGCCTCTCTTTATCTTTGCCTAATTTAAATTTGACTGTCCTTTTTGTATTGATTTATAGTACTGTACATGCTGTGGATATTGACACTTTGTATGCTGTGTTGACATATAACTTAAATTAGTATTTTCTCTCCATATGCTCTTAGCTAATTTTTTAGGTCAGATGATGTATAATTTACATGCTTTGAAACCATCCCTTTTAGGTGTAGAGTTCCATGAGTTTTGAAAAATGAATAGTCAAGTAACCACATTTATGTGTAGACTGAGTCCATTAGCTCAAAATGTTCCCTTGTACCTGGTTGTAGTCAATCTCCTTTCCCTACCACCAGCCCCTGGCAACCAATTATCCAATGTCTGTTTCTGCATTTTCCAGAATGTCATATAAATGGAAACTTAAAATACATAGCACTTTTTTTCCTGGCTTCCTTTATTTAACACATTGCTTTGGAGATTCATCCATGTTGTTGCATGTGACAGTAGTTTATTTCTTATTATTGCTGAGTATTACTCATTTGAATGGATATACCATCAGTGAATGGGCATTTGGGTTGCTTCTAGTATTTGGTGATTAGAAATAAATAAAGTTGCTATAAACATTCACATACAGATTTTTGTATCAACATAATTTTTTGATAAATACCTGAAAGTGGGATTGCTAGGGTTTATGGTTAATGTATGTTTAACTTTATAAGAATACCACCACACTGCTTTCCAAAGTGACTGTACCATTTGCATTTCCACCAGCATGAGAGTTTCACTTGTTCCATGCCCTTGCCAGTAGGTTGCAATTTTGCTAATTTTAATTACTTTGTAGGTGTTTAATGGTCCTATCACAAAATGCCTGTATTGCAATTTAATTAGAAAAACTACACAGTCAGTCTTTAATTTCTCTGAGGATTTAAAGTGCTTTAGATCTCTGATTTTTTTTTAAGGGTCAGATTTATCCCTTGCAGTGGTGGGGGAAAAGGTGGGCTTTTAAAAAATGTTCTGTGCTTCACTGAAAGTCTTGTCAAAAAGTATATGATATTGTCAAAGTGGCAATCTTTATCTTCAAATGAATACCAAAAAGTCAACTTGGTTGACTTTAAAGAAAAATTAGTTTGAAATGACTAAGAAAGGAATCACTTGTAATTTCACTGGCAGTTCATAAATCTCCTGCATTTTATTTTAAATGGCATCTCCTTGCTTTAATAGGATATCTAAAATGTCCTGAATGTAAGATTGCTCTAATAACATCTGAGTGCACCTGAGTCTTTTAGTTTTTTATGCTATGATTATAAGCCCAAGCTAAATAACTTTGCCTAATTCTATGTTCTGTTCAACTATATTGTTGATGCTTGATTCTATTATAAACAGTCCACCCAAGTGTGCAGCAATGGCTTTAAAAATCTCTAATTAAAATAAATGTCAAGGTTAAGCTATTTTTATTCATGCCTGAAAACAATTACCAATACTTGAGACTTTTAAAATAATAACAGTGTGGTAAGCATATTTCAAAACCAGGAAGGCAGAAATTTGTGTTTATGATACCCAAAACTTAGTTTTGCTATTCTTTGGAATGCCCCTAGTAATCAACTATAGGTGACGTACATTATATGAAACCTCAAAGATTTCAGTGGGAGGTGGAAAAAAGAGTCCTTATGTCTTTCACTTCTGATATAATTCTTGTCACTCTCAGAAGGAATTAAAATGTAATAAAGAGGCATAACAGGGATTGTAATCTAAGAATACTAATTAATAACTGTAGTTCCACCAGAATGAAATTGTGTGATAAATGATAGGCTGTCAGTTGCTAAATCATGAACTATTCCAGAGAGAGAAAAAGCAACATAGTCTTCCACAATATGGCTCCTTATGTTAAAACTGTGACTGGTAGGGAAGTTTTGTACTTGTTAATCATTTGTGTTTTTATATTGCTGTTTGCAATTACAATTAAACAGATGGTTCCTAAAAAGATAGTGTGTTCTTAGCAATTAAAACCATGGCAAGCAGCTTTTCCTCTTCCCCAACATACAATTAAACTGAATAGAATCTCACACCCTGTGGGTTCTTCAGAGGAAAGGTTCTGTACAGATTCAGGCAGATTAGTATTCTGTTCCCCAGCCCTGTCATCTTGACCCCTGCAAACTGAGAGCGTTGCAGCTGGCAGAGGACTTCCAAACGTGGGTTTTAGGAAGTACTTGCCCCCTTCTCTGCCTTCTCCCCAGCTCCTATTCTTGCCGTATGTAGATTAATAGAGTACATTTTTAAATGGGGTCTTTGTAACAGTCTCTAACAACCATTGGATGTATCTAATATAGCTTTCGAAATTCTGGTTGATCAGGTAGTCCATGAAATTTCTCAAGGGAACTGGAAAATTAGTCTTTTTTAAAATTCTTTTTCATGACACCTCATGTTGACATGTTTGCTTGTGAAAAAAATCTTTCAGAGTTTTTATCTAAAGAATATGGAATTTAATTTGGGTTCTAGGGAAACCAAATTTTTACCTTATTTTTGATTCCTATTACAACAAATAAACTTTAGATATTTCAACAAAGACTCAGCACCCAGTGATATTTCACTAGTTGAAATATGGCTTTGTGGCTAGTGATTCCTCCTTTGAACCAGAACACAGCAGCCTTAGTGGGTCTCCCCAGAGAAGTAGAGTTGAAGCATGTGGTGGACGGTTCACTGATGAAACCTTGGAAATAAGTGTTTTGTTTGCATGAGCATAAATAGGCCCAAGTATACCATTGATGATTTTAGGTACAGGCTTTTGTGCCCACAAGTAAGCAGTTATTTGCTGGTGTAATTAACCATCTGCACCTTATTATGAGGGTGCAGCTGGCTAATTATGCCCAGTGCCACAGGGCAGGTTAAACATCTCATCTGCATAAGAAGTGGATTTGCAACAAAGAATACTGACCTTTACAAATGAGTCCCTAAATTCAAGTTCTGCTTGAGGTCAACACTTTTGTTTTGTTTTGTTGAGAAGTAAAATTTATATATGGGTAATGGTATTTCTGTTTGTAAAGTAATTAGTATAGAATCATAGGACAGACATACATTGAGTCAGAGACAAATAGATCCCTACTGAGTTCAAATTATTTTGGTTCCTCAATGTGGAAAAGTGGCACATCAGTATGGATGTACATGTATTCATGAACTTGCACGAATGACAACTTGGAGCATCACTGAGACTTCAAATGGGGTAAATTTGTGGACTGACCATTTCAAAATTACTTTTAGCAATAGTCATACATTATTCTTGTGACTCACTGGACGGATCATTGGAGAGAACAGCAGAATACTGGCAAGCAGAAACTT